TCCTGAGTCGAGGTCGACGTCCGCCCCTCCTTCGTCGACCACCCGCAGGTCGACTAGCAATCCGTCAGCCGACCGCCCCTCCTTCGTCGACCACCAGGTCCAGTCGACCACCCGCAGGTCGACTAGCAATCCGTCAGCCGACCGCCCCTCCTTCGTCGACCACCAGGTCCAGTCGACCACCCGCAGGTCGACTAGCAATCCGTCAGCCGACCACTGAAGTCGGCTTCCCCAAGTTGACGTCACCAAGTTGACGTCCTCCGCAGGTCGACTCCCAAGTCGACCTCCCCGAAGTTTGCGCCACCCTGAAGTCGGCACCCGTGCAGTGGTCCCCGTGCAGGTCGACCTCCTCGTCAACCAGCTCGCCCACTGCTGCAGGTCGGCTGCTCCCCTCACACCCGACCATGATTTCGGCTCCGCCCAAGCGAGGACGGGGCCAACACACAACTCCCGTTGACACTCCCCTGCCGCGTTCACGCTTGGGCCCCCAGACCACACGGCAGTACTCCTCGGAGAAAAGCTCGTGGACGTGCACCCAACACACAGCACGTCGTCCACCGCACCAGCCATGCAAAAGGGCATGGCACCTACTGCTGCACGTCGTTGTTGCCATCGCCCACATCTGCCAAGCGCACCTGGCCGATTGCAACGGAGCACCAGTTGAAGGCCGGATAGTGCAGCGCCTTCGTCAGGAAGTTGGCCGGATGCTCGGCGGTCGGGATGTACTACAGCGAGAACTTCCCGCGCTTCACCATGTGCTGTAGCCAGGCCTGTCGCCGCTCCATGTGCTTGAGGTTGCCCGTCAACCCCATGCCCTCGGCGACTGTGATAGCCGGCTTGTTGTCCACTCGTAGGACAGTTGGCTTCCCGGCGTCTAGCTGCCGAAACTCTGCAAGAAGGAAGCGAAGGCGGCATCCCTCCTTGCCAGCTTCAGTGGCCGCAACGTACTCGGACTCGGTAGACAACAACGTCGCGCACTTGATGCACTGGCTCGACCAGGAGACCGCGGCCCCACTGTAGACGAACACATAGCCACCCGTGCTCGTCCTGTTCTGCTTGTCACCGGCGTCAGCGGCGTCCACGTAGCCGAGCAGCTCCAGTGACTCAGGTCCACCGCCGAACTCCAGGGCGGTGTCACGTGTGTTGGCAAGGTAAGCAAGGCAACGGTCGACCTCACGCCAGTGCTGGTCGCTCCTCATCGTGAGGCCGCTCCCCAGCTTGCTGCAGGCAAAGGCGATGTCCGGCCTCGTCGTCGTCGCCGCGAACTGCCATGAGCCGACCTTCTGCCGGTACTCCTCCTCCTGCCGTTCCTGCGCCTTCTCGTCGTCGAAGGTGAGCTCGGCGTAGGCGTCGACCGAGACCGGAGTCTTCGAGGTGCGCTCGGTCTGCTCCTCGTCGAGGAAGCGCCCACGCAGCTTGTCAGCGTAGCACTGCTGGTGCAGCCACAGCTTCCCTGCCGACTTGTCGCGCACGATCTTCAGCCTGAGGTACTTCTGCACTGGCGAGATCTCGCGCAGCTCGAAGGCGGCTTCCAGCAGCTCCTTCAGCTCCTTCAGCATCGCGGCGCTGCTGCTGGCGGCAAGCAGGTCGTCGACGTAGACCAGCACCCAGCAGGCCACTCCGTCCTTTCCAACCTTGAAGTAGAGAGCCTCGTCGACCTGGCTCTTCTTCCACCCGGCGCCGACTAGCACATCGTTGAGCGCCAAGTACCACAACAGCGGCGACTGCTTCAGCCCGTACAGGCTCTTCAGCAGCTTGCACACCCGGCCGGATCCGTCGTTGAAGTAGTCCGGCTGGTGCATGTACAGCACCCGGTCGAGCTTGCTCTGTAGGAAGGCGTTCTTCATGTCGAGCTGCATCACGTTGAGGTTGAGGACGGCGACGATGCTGAGGAAGATCCTCAGCGTGACGTAGCTGCCCACCGGCGCGAACGTCTCGTCGTAGTCGGCGCCGTACACCTGTGTGAAGCCTTTCACGACCAGCCTCGCCTTCTCGCGCTCGACGGTGTCGTCGACGTGGTACTTCGTCGTCAATACCCACCGGTTCTTCATAACGTTCACCCCCGGCGGGCTTTCGACCAGCTCCCAAGTGCCCATGTTGATGAGGTTGCGGATCTCCTCCTCCATGGCGGCCTTCACCGCCGGGCCCTTCCAGCTCGCCAACGCCTCCTTCACCGTCATCGTCGAGGTGTCCCAACGGTGCTCGGGGTCGGCTAACATGTCAGGGTCGAGCTCTGGAAACTCCTCATCCTCCTCGGCGTCGTCGTACAGTAGGTCATCATCGTTGACGTCGTAAACCGTGGTGAACGCCGCGGGGACGAAGAAGTCAGGCGGCCTCCGAAGTCGGCCTGAACGTCGTGGTCCTGGTCGGACCTCCTCGGCGTCCCCTCCATCGTCGCCGTCGCTGCCCTTGGCGTTCTGCTGCACTGCACCTAGCGTGCCTGCTCCTTTGTCGGCCGCTGCTCCTCGACCTGCTTCTCGACCTGCTCCTCCCCTGTCGACGTGGACTGCAAACCCACGTCGACATGCCGCTCGTGACGTCGGCCACCGGCGATGCACTTGGCCGAAGGCGACGTCCCACTACTCCCCTCATCGCCGGAGGCCGACACTGAGGTCAGCCCACGCAGGTCGGCCATGAGGGGAGGGGCATGGGTCGGAGGGGGAGGGGTAAGGGGGCGGACGTCCTCGACGTCCTCAGTAGCAAGCTCACCGACCTTGGTAAGCAGCGGCAGACTCGCTGACGAGGTGTCAGAGGGCCGGGTGGGCGACGAGCGGCCGGACACCGGCCCATGCTCCGTCCTCCACTCGGCCAGCGACATCTCCCCGTAGAATACCACGCCTGACGTGGTGACCACCCGGTCGGTGTCGACGTCGAGGAGCTCCCAGCCCTTGCTCGCCGTCGACATGCCAAGGTGCAGGCCCCACCTGGCCTTCGGCTGCAGCTTCCCACCACGCTGCTGCTCAGGGACGAAGAACTGCGCCATGCAGCCCCACACCCGCGCCAGCAACAAGTCGGGCTTCTTCCCGGTTAGCAGCTGGTATGGCGTCGTCCCCGGCGGCAGCGCCGACCTCTCAAGGCAGTTGAGGACCCAGACGGCCTGCCGAAGAGCGAGGTGCCACCAGTGGTGATGCACGCCCATGTGCAGAAGCATTGTCCGCACCGACTCCACCACCGTCCTCATCTCCCGCTCCGCCATGCCGTTCTGCTGCGGGGTGTATGGGCAGGTCAGGTCGTGGACGATCCCCTTGACTTTCACGATGTCGATGAACTACTTCCCGAGGAACTCCCCTCCCCCGTCAGAGCGCAGCATCAACACCGACTTCTTCGTCTGCCGCTCAGCCACCGCTAGCCACTACACAAACACCGGCAACGCATCTGACTTCTTGGAGACCGGCTTCACCCACACGTAGCGGGTCTTACGGTCCTTCAGCAGCAAGAAGTACAGGCTGCCGTCCTTGGCAGCCACGCGGAACGGCCCGCACAGGTCGATGTGTACGACGGCCAGCACGTCGTCGGCGTCGGAGCCTTGGTCGGGGAAGGTGTGCCGCGCCAGTTTCCCGCCGACGCACGAGACACACGGGGAGTCGGCGTCCCTCGCCGACTTGAGGTCCAGACCAATGGCGACCTCGTTCTTCGCCGAGCTCCGTATGGTGTCCATGCCGACATGTGCAAGCCTCGCATGCATCCGGTCCGGCGTCGACTTCGTCTTCGAGACGAACGCCCGCAGAGTCAAAACCTCCGTCGTGGGTGACGTCGACCTCGTTGAGCAGGGACGCAGGTCAGTGCAGAGGACACGCCCGGAGTACGTCGCCCGACCGAGCACCACTCCGGCTACAGAGACGAGCAGCATGCCGTCTCCATCCTCCTGCAGCTTCACGCCGTGCTCCTTCAGCTGGCTGAACGACAGCAGGTTGGCCCGCACACCCGGGACATACAGTACGTCGGGGATGAGTACCTGCTTCCGGCCTCCCCTTGTAGGGTAACGGTGCCACAGCCCTGGACGTCCTGCAGCGCCCCATTGAAGCCGCGCACATGCTTGATGGCGCTGCTCGGCTGCAGGTCGACGAAGGCTTCCTTCGTCCCCATCAGGTGGTCGGAGCAACCGCTGTCGAGCAGGACCACCGCCGGGTTCGCCTGCACAGCTGGTGCCACTGCCTGGAAGTCCTCTCCGGCCTCCGGCGCCAGCGAGACGGTCTGCTCCACGACGCCGACCTACTGTGACTATAACACACCCCGCCCCATTCTCCCGCTTTCCATCACCCCGCCCCATTCTCCCATCACCCCGCCCCATTCTCCCGCTTTCCATCACCACGCCCCATTCTCCCGCTTTCCATCACCCCGCCCCATTCTCCCGCTTTCCATCACTCCGCCCCATTCTCCCGCTTTCCATCACCCCGCCCCATTCTCCTGCTTTCCATCACCCCGCCCCATTCTTCTCCTTCCATTACCCCGCCTCATTCTACCTCCTTCCATCACCCCGCCCCATTCTCCCGTTTTCCATCACCCCGCCCCATTCTCCCGCTTTCCATCACCCCGCCCCATTCTCCCGCTTTCCATCACCACGCCCCATTCTCCCGCTTTCCATCACCTCGCCCCATTCTCCCTCCTTCCATCACCCTGCCCTATTCTCCCGCTTTCCGTCACCCCGCCCCATTCTCCCGCTTTCCATAACCCCGCCCCATTCTCCCGCTTTCCATCACCCTGCCTCATTCTCCCACTTTCCATCACCCCGCCCCATTCTCCCTCCTTCCATCACCCTGCCCCATTCTCCCTCCTTCCATCACCCCGCCCCATTCTCCCTCCTTTGATCACCCCGCCCCATTCTCCCGCTTTCCATCAGCCCTCCCCATTCTCCCGCTTTCCATCACCCCGCCCCATTCTCTTGCTTTTCATCACCCCACCCCATTCTCCCGCTTTCCATCACCCCGCCCCCTTCTCCCTCCTTCCATCACCACGCCCCATTCTCCCACTTTCTACCAGCCCGCCCCATTCTCCCGCTTTCCATGACCCCGCCCCTTTCTCCCGCTTTGCATCTTCCCGCCCCATTCTCCCGCTTTCCATCACCCCGCCCCATTCTCCCGCTTTCCATCACCCCACCCCATTCTCCCACTTTCCATCACCCCGCCCCATTCTCCCCCCTTCCATCACCCCGCCTCTTTCTACCTCCTTCCATCACCCCGCCCCATGCTCCCGCTTTCCATCACCCCGCCCCATTCTCCCGCTTTTCATCACCCCGCCCCATTCTCCCGCTTTCCATCACCCCGCCCCATTCTCCCGCTTTCCATCACCCCGCCCCATTCTCCCTCCTTCCATCACCCCGCCCCATTCTCCCTCCTTCCATCACCCCACCCCATTCTCCCGCTTTCCATCACCCCGCCCCATTCTCCCGCTTTCCATCACCCCGCCCCATTCTCCCATCACCCCGCCCCATTCACCCGCTTTCCATCACCCGCCCCATTCTCCCGATTTCCATCACCCCGCCCCATTCTCCCGCTTTCCATCACCCCGCCCCATTCTCCCGCTTTCCATCACCCCGCCCCATTCTCCCGCTTTCCATCACCCAGCCCCATTCTCCCACTTTCCATCACCCCGCCCCATTTTCCCGCTTTCTATCAAGCTGCCCCATTCTCACGCTTTCCATCACCCTGCCCCAATCTCCCGCTTTCCATAACCCCGCCCCATTCTCCCTCCTTCCATCACCCAGCCCCATTCTCCCGCTTTCAATCACCCCGCCCCATTCTCCCGCTTTCCATAACCCCGCCCCATTCTCCCTCCTTCCATCACCTGCCCCGGTCTCCCTCCTTCCATCACCCCGCCCCTTTCTCCCTACTTCCATCACCCCGCCCTATTCTCCCGCTTTCCATCAGCCCACCCCATTCTCCCGCTTTCCATCACCCCGCCCCATTATCCCGCTTTCCATCACCCCGCCCCATTCTCCCGCTTTCCATCACCCCGCCCCATTCTCCCGCTTTCCATCACCCTGCCCCATTCTCCCGCTTTCCATCACCCCGCCCCATTCTCCCGCTTTCCATCACCCCGCCCCATTCTCCCGATTTCCATCTCCCCACCCCATTCTCCCTCCTTCCATCACCCTGCCCAATTCTCTCTATTTCCATCACCGCTCCCTATTCTCCCTCTTTCCATCACCCCGCCCCATTCTCCCGCTTTCCATTAACCCGCCCCATTCTCCCGCTTTCCATCAACCCGCCCCATTCTCCCGCTTTCCATCATTCCGCCCCATTCTCTCGCTTTCCATCACCCCGCCCAATTCTCCCTCTTTCCATCACCCCGCCCCGTTCTCCCGCTTTCCATCACCCCGCCCCGTTCTCCCGCTTTCCATCACCTCGCCCCATTCTCCCCCTTTCCATCACCTTGCGTGTGCAAAATTGCAAAATTGCAAGAATAAGGGCCTAGCGTGTGCAAAATTGCAAGAACTCCGGCCTAGCGTCTCCAAAATTGCTAGAACAAGGGCCTAGCGCGTGCAAAATTGCAAGAACAAGGGCCTAGCAAGTGCAAATTAGCAAGAGCAAGGGCCTAGCGTGTGCAAAAAATCAAGAACAAGGGCCTAGCATTCGCGAAGTAGCAAGAACAAGGGCCTATCTGTGCAAAATAAAAAGAACAAGGGTCTAGCATGTGCAAAATTGCAAGGACAAGGGCCTAGCGTGTGCAAAAAAAAAAGAACAAGGGCATAGCGTGTGCAAAATAGCAAGAACAAGGGCCTAGCGTGTGCAAAATTGCAAGAACAAGGGCCTAGCGTGTGCACAATTGCAAGAACAAGGGCCTAGCGAGTGCAAAATAGCAAGAGCAAGGGCCTAGCGTGTGCAAAAAATCAAGAACAAGGGCCTAGCATTCGCGAAATAGCAAGAGCAAGGGCCTAGCGTGTGCAAAAAAAAAAAACAAGGGTCTAGCATGTGCAAAATTGCAAGAACAAGGGCCTAGCGTGTGCAAAAAAAAAAGAACAAGGGCATAGCGTGTGCAAAATAAAAAGAACAAGGGCCTAGCGTGTGCAAAATAGCAAGAAAAAGGGCCTAGCGTGTGCAAAATAGCAAGAACAAGGGCCTAGCGTGTGCAAAAAAAAAAGAACAAGGGTCTAGCATGTGCAAAATTGCAAGAACAAGGGCCAAGCGTGTGCAAAATAAAAAGAACAAGGGCATAGCGTGTGCAAAATAGCAAGGAGAAGGGCCTAGCGTGTGCAAAATAAAAAGAACAAGGGCCTAGCGTGTGCAAAATTGCAAGAACAAGGGCCTAGCGCGTGCAAAATTGCAAGAAGAAGGGCCTAGCAAGTGCAAATTAGCAAGAGCAAGGGCCTAGCGTGTGCAAAAAATCAAGAACAAGGGCCTAGCGTTCGCGAAGTAGCAAGAACAAGGGCCTATCTGTGCAAAATAAAAAGAACAAGGGTCTAGCATGTGCAAAATTGCAAGGACAAGGGCCTAGCGTGTGCAAAAAAAAAAGAACAAGGCCATAGCGTGTGCAAAATAGCAAGAACAAGGGCCTAGCGTGTGCAAAATTGCAAGAACAAGGGCCTAGCGAGTGCAAAATAGCAAGAGCAAGGGCCTAGCGTGTGCAAAAAATCAAGATCAAGGGCCTAGAATTCGCGAAATAGCAAGAGCAAGGGCCTAGCGTGTGCAAAAATAAAAGAACAAGGGTCTAGCATGTGCAAAATTGCAAGAACAAGGGCTTAGCGTGTGCAAAAAAGAAAGAACAAGGGCATAGCGTGTGCAAAATAAAAAGAACAAGGGCCTAGCGTGTGCAAAATTGCAAGAAAAGGGCCTAGCGTGTGCAAAATAGCAAGAACAAGGGCCTAGCGTGTGCAAAATAAAAAGAACAAGGGTCTAGCATGTGCAAAATTGCAAGAACAAGGGCCAAGCGTGTGCAAAATAAAAAGAACAAGGGCATAGCGTGTGCAAAATAGCTAGAATAAGGGCCTAGCGTGTGCAAAAAAAAAAAGAACAAAGGCCTAACGTGTGCAAAATTGCAAGAACAAAGGCCTAGCGTGTGCAAAATTGCAAGAACAATGGCCTAGCGTGTGCAAAATTGCAAGAACAAGGGCCTAGCAAGTGCAAAATAGCAAGAGCAAGGGCCTAGCGTGTGCAAAAAATCAGGAACAAGGACCTAGCGTTCGCGAAATAGCAAGAACAAGGGCCTAGCATGTGCAACAAAAAAAGAACAAGGGCATAACGTGTGCAAAATAAATGATCAAGGGCATGGCGTGTGCAAAATAGCAAGAACAAGGGCCTAGGGTGTGCAAAATAAAAAAAACAAGGACCTAGCGTGTGCAAAAAAAAAAAAACAAGGGCCTAGCGAGTGCAAAAATTCCAAGAACAAGGGCCTAGTGTGTGCAAAATTGCAAGAACAAGGGCCTAGCGTGTGCACAATTGCAAGAACAAGGGCCTAGCGGGTGCAAAATAGCTAGAGCAAGGGCCTAGCGTGTGCAAAATAAAAAGGAACAAGGGTCTAGCATGTGCAAAATTGCAAGAACAAGGGCCAAGCGTGTGCAAAATAAAAAGAACAAGGGCATAGCGTGTGCAAAACAGCAAGAATAAGGGCCTAGCATGTGCAAAAAAAAGAGGAACAAGGGCCTAGCGTGTGCAAAATTGCAAGAACAAGGGCCTAGCGTGTGCAAAATTGCAAGAACAAGGGCCTAGCGCATGCAAAATTGCAAGAACAAGGGCCTAGCAAGTGCAAAATAGCAAGAGCAAGGGCCTAGCGTGTGCAAAAAATCAAGAACAAGGGCCTAGCGTTCGCGAAATAGCAAGAACAAGGGCCTAGCCTGTGCAAAATAAAAAGAACAAGGGTCTAGCATGTGCAAAATTGCAAGGACAAGGGCCTAGCGTGTGCAAAAAAAAAAGAACAAGGGCATAGCGTGTGCAAAATAGCAAGAACAAGGGCCTAGCGTGTGCAAAATTGCAAGAACAAGGGCCTAGCGTGTGCACAATTGCAAGAACAAGGGCCTAGCGAGTGCAAAATAGCAAGAGCAAGGGCCTAGCGTGTGCAAAAAATCAAGAACAAGGGCCTTGCATTCGCGAAATAGCAAGAGCAAGGGCCTAGCGTGTGCAAAAAAAAAAAAAGAACAAGGGTCTAGCATGTGCAAAATTGCAAGAACAATGGCCTAGCGTGTGCAAAATTGCAAGAACAAGGGCCTAGCAAGTGCAAAATAGCAAGAGCAAGGGCCTAGCGTGTGCAAAAAATCAAGAACAAGGACCTAGCGTTCGCGAAATAGCAAGAACAAGGGCCTAGCATGTGCAAAAAAAAAAGGGAAAAGGGCATAACGTGTGCAAAATAAATAGAACAAGGGCATGGCGTGTGCAAAATAGCAAGAACAAGGGCCTAGCGTGTGCAAAATAAAAAAAACAAGGGCCTAGCGTGTGCAAAACAAAAAGAACAAGGGCCTAGCGAGTGCAAAATTGCAAGAACAAGGCCCTAGCGTGTGCAAAATTGCAAGGAGAAGGGCCTAGCGTGTGCAAAATAAAAAGAACAAGGGCCTTGCGTGTGCAAAATTGCAAGAACAAGGGCCTAGCGTGTGCAAAATTGCAAGAACAAGGGCCTAGCGCGTGCAAAATTGCAAGAACAAGGGCCTAGCAAGTGCAAATTAGCAAGAGCAAGGGCCTAGCGTGTGCAAAAAATCAAGAACAAGGGCCTAGCGTTCGCGAAGTAGCAAGAACAAGGGCCTATCTGTGCAAAATAAAAAGAACAAGGGTCTAGCATGCGCAAAATTGCAAGGACAAGGGCCTAGCGTGTGCAAAAAAAAAAGAACAAGGGCATAGCGAGTGCAAAATAGCAAGAACAAGGGCCTAGCGTGTGCAAAATTGCAAGAACAAGGGCCTAGCGAGTGCAAAATAGCAAGAGCAAGGGCCTAGCGTGTGCAAAAAATCAAGATCAAGGGCCTAGCATTCGCGAAATAGCAAGAGCAAGGGCCTAGCGTGTGCAAAAATAAAAGAACAAGGGTCTAGCATGTGCAAAATTGCAAGAACAAGGGCTTAGCGTGTGCAAAAAAGAAAGAACAAGGGCATAGCGTGTGCAAAATAAAAAGAACAAGGGCCTAGCGTGTGCAAAATTGCAAGAAAAAGGGCCTAGCGTGTGCAAAATACCAAGAACAAGGGCCTAGCGTGTGCAAAATAAAAAGAACAAGGGTCTAGCATGTGCAAAATTGCAAGAACAAGGGCCAAGCGTGTGCAAAATAAAAAGAACAAGGGCATAGCGTGTGCAAAATAGCTAGAATAAGGGCCTAGCGTGTGCAAAAAAAAAAGAACAAAGGCCTAACGTGTGCAAAATTGCAAGAACAAAGGCCTAGCGTGTGCAAAATTGCAAGAACAATGGCCTAGCGTGTGCAAAATTGCAAGAACAAGGGCCTAGCAAGTGCAAAATAGCAAGAGCAAGGGCCTAGCGTGTGCAAAAAATCAGGAACAAGGACCTAGCGTTCGCGAAATAGCAAGAACAAGGGCCTAGCATGTGCAACAAAAAAAGAACAAGGGCATAACGTGTGCAAAATAAATGATCAAGCGCATGGCGTGTGCAAAATAGCAAGAACAAGGGCCTAGCGTGTGCAAAATAAAAAAAACAAGGACCTAGCGTGTGCAAAAAAAAAAAAACAAGGGCCTAGCGAGTGCAAAATTGCAAGAACAAGGGCCTAGCGTGTGCAAAATTGCAAGAACAAGGGCCTAGCGTGTGCACAATTGCAAGAACAAGGGCCTAGCGGGTGCAAAATAGCTAGAGCAAGGGCCTAGCGTGTGCAAAATAAAAAGAACAAGGGTCTAGCATGTGCAAAATTGCAAGAACAAGGGCCAAGCGTGTGCAAAATAAAAAGAACAAGGGCATAGCGTGTGCAAAACAGCAAGAATAAGGGCCTAGCATGTGCAAAAAAAAAGAGGAACAAGGGCCTAGCGTGTGCAAAATTGCAAGAACAAGGGCCTAGCGTGTGCAAAATTGCAAGAACAAGGGCCTAGCGCGTGCAAAATTGCAAGAACAAGGGCCTAGCAAGTGCAAAATAGCAAGAGCAAGGGCCTAGCGTGTGCAAAAAATCAAGAACAAGGGCCTAGCGTTCGCGAAATAGCAAGAACAAGGGCCTAGCCTGTGCAAAATAAAAAGAACAAGGGTCTAGCATGTGCAAAATTGCAAGGACAAGGGCCTAGCGTGTGCAAAAAAAAAAGAACAAGGGCATAGCGTGTGCAAAATAGCAAGAACAAGGGCCTAGCGTGTGCAAAATTGCAAGAACAAGGGCCTAGCGTGTGCACAATTGCAAGAACAAGGGCCTAGCGAGTGCAAAATAGCAAGAGCAAGGGCCTAGCGTGTGCAAAAAATCAAGAACAAGGGCCTTGCATTCGCGAAATAGCAAGAGCAAGGGCCTAGCATGTGCAAAAAAAAAAAAAAAAAAGGGTCTAGCATGTGCAAAATTGCAAGAACAATGGCCTAGCGTGTGCTAAATTGCAAGAACAAGGGCCTAGCAAGTGCAAAATAGCAAGAGCAAGGGCCTAGCGTG